GCCCCGTGGAGTCGGGGCAAGGGGCGCACGCGCCACGTGCTGGGAGGCCGCCCCGGCCCCGGCCCCGGCCCCGGCTCTCTGGACCGGAGCGGTGGGGCAGCATCTGCTTGGCACGGCGCTGCCAGCACCCCTGCCTTGCCAGCTTTCTCGGTCACGCTTGCTGGCCCGGGCATTGGTGTTTCCCTCGGGATCCTCTCCCCAGGGCAGCGGGAGCCGGGAGGGCCAGAGGGCCTGGGCAGAGCGGCTGCATCTGGGGAACAACCGTTCCTCATCTTTGGTAAACCTCAGGATCCCTCTGTGCATATTTGTGGGAGTAGTTTCAGTGGGAAATGAAAGAGGTTTTTTTGATCCTGCTTCCCTTCTGGTGTGCTGCTGCAGGTCCTTGCTTAGTACTTGCACATTGGTGCTAAGAAAGCAGCCTTCTGGAGCAGCGGGTCCAGGAATTGCATGAAGGTCGGGAGAGCAGAAAGCCCATCCACAGGGACGCGGCTGAATTGGAAGCGGCCGTAAAATGACTCTGTAGGAATTCCTGCCAGTCGGAGCTGTGGGGACGGCCAGGAGGGTCCCTTCTCATGGGCTGTCTTTCTGGCCAGCACGAGGCAGGGTGCCCAGGCTGGCGCAGGAAGGCAGTCCAGCTGTTTCTTTCCCATGGGGTTCATGACAGCCACCGCTCTGACTCGTCCTCACAGCCTGTTGAGAAAAGTCAGGTAGGGTCAGTTTGATACCCCTAATCACATAGCAATCTCCCCTCTCATCTCATAAAAGAGGAAGCTAATAGTCTTCCCTAATTATTGTTGACCACCTACAGTGATGAGGGACCATATACAAACCTAAGATGTGGAGACAGAGGGATGTTTTGTCGGCATCACGTCTGTAATGCTGGTTTCCAAACGGGGTCATTTCAATGTTTCTCTATAACAAAGAAGCGCTTAGTACTACAGTACCTTGAAGTATCCAGTACTGTTATTTTACTTGGGGAAACTGAGGTGCAGGTGCTATGAGAGATGGCCTAATTCAAGCAGTGAAACTGAGACTTCTGACTTCCAGCCCTGCATTTAGCATTGAAATGGTATGTTTTTTTCTTTTCCATTGAAAGTTAGCTCAGAAAAATATGCCCTAGAATATCTGCCCTAGACTATCTCCCCACACTTCTACATGTGATACTCTCATTCCCAAAGGACTTTTGGTTTAGCATTGAACTGATTTAGTATTACTGGATGGAAATGCAAATATTCTTCCCCAGCCCCCTGGAGAAAACAACCCTGGGAAAGAGCAGAGAAGGAAAAGTTGCAACTCTGCAACGAGAGAATAGGAAGTGCCTCACTAGTGATCACTCTTGTCTTGTTGGATTCGGAAGGGGTGTGTGGTTGGGGGAGCACTTGATTCTCAGGACTCGGTGGCTCTACTGCTTCCTGGGTGGTTAGAATTACTAGATGAGGTAATGTCACGCGCCGGGCACTAAACAGCTCATGTTCTACAAGTCAGCTTTGGCTTCCCCATCAGAGAAGGGCCTACAGCTGTTTTTGCTGCCTGGTCTGAACTGGCCCTGTGTCCAGTAGCTGCAAAAAATGCCGTGTCTTCAGTTTCTGCTCCATATCAGCACTTTGGTGTCTTGTGCTCTGCACTTGGAGACAGTTTAGATGCTGGGGACAGATAGGGTGAATCCAGGGAACCATGGGAGAGCGTGAAAGGACACTGGGGTAGGCTGTTAAAAAATGCAGACAACAGCTAGGTCTTGCCTCTCATTGAAAAACCAAGCGGCTTAGTTTCTACCTGTGTCCTTTGGGAACCTTTCTCAATGCCTGCACAGTGAGATGGGCAAACCAGGTTTATGTTTTGATTCAGAGGTGCTAGATGGATTGTGTCCACACTAGCAGTTGCATTATTTGCCTTCTGAAATGGCAGTAAGGGAGCAGGAACTCACTCACTCCTGGCCCCACAGCAGATAGGAGAGTAGCCGAAATGTGGGTAGCTGGACCATACTAGCACACTTGCTGTTACCATAGTCATCAGATCAGAACCAGAAGGGTGGGGAGTGAGCCTCATCTCACACTGGGACTTCTCTTACTATTGTCCCCACAGGAAATCAGCCCTGCTTTTCCAAGCATGTTCAGAACTACTTGTGTCCCAGCATCAGACCCACATTCATTTCCCAGAGTAAGTGAAATGTAGTCAGTGCATGGTTATGTGACTAGACTTGTACTAGTGGGCTACAGCACTATGGTAGAGCCTGGCTTGCTTTCTTGAGATACCACACAGCCACAATTTTTTCCCCTCCTGCTGGTGGGAAGTATTTTAAATCCCACACAGGGGCTTATTTGCCATCCTTTGCAAGCAGCCTCCAACAGCAGTCAGAGGAAGTCCAAGAGCCAAGGCTGCTGCATAGTTTGCCCATTCCCCTCACCCAGTCGCATTTTCTTTTTTGGCTCCTCTTGCTTTTGGTGACTGCTCCAAACACTCCTGGGTTTGACATCAGAAGGAGGCAGAGAGTATCTTAATGCCCTGTCCACCCCTCTGCTTAGAATCATAGCAAAGTAAGGGCTGGAAGGGGCATCTGGGGGTCTCATCTACTCCATTCCCTTGCTCACAGCAAAACTAAGCCATCCGACTGACTAAACCATCCCAGTCAAGCGTCTGTCTAACCTGCTCTGCAGTCTCACCCCAGAGGAGTGTGCATGTGATGCAAGACTTCAGGATATTATGCAGCTGCAATGGCTAGTGTGTGCGCCCTGCCCATCTGCTCTCAAGCCTGAGCTGTGAGGGTCACTGCATTGAATAAAACCCAGACAAAACTATTGAATTGGCTAGGCCAGTTCTGTAGCCAGGGGCCTGTCTGAATGGAAGCAACAAAAAACATCCAGGCTTGCTTTTCTTATTTGGTAGGGGCGGGTCCAGAAGTGCCTCTGTCTCTATGCAGAAAAGGGTCTCCTGGTTTGCTTGCTAAAGGCAGCTGTCATTTCAAATGCACCAGCTGGGCTGTAATTAAGATTTAATCTAAATAAAAGATAGGAGCATTGCACGCTTTTCTTTTCCTCAGCCACACTCTCCTTAATGAGATCTCATGAGCAGGAACTAATGCCAGTGTTGATGATATTGTTCCTTTTCTCTCAGCCTGGGTCCCTGCTTTCAGGATGCAGAACCGGGTTTATCAGCCATTTACCTTTCTGAATGAGAACTGATTCAGAGCATTCAAGTAGTGCTGAAAATGGAGACACTGCATGTTTATTTTGTCTGCATAAAAAAAGAGTCACAGGTTAATGCCCTCCGGTCTTCCCCCTTTGTTGACCAATAATGCAGTCTGGAATAAGGGGCAGTTCTCTACACCAGTGTTTCCATTACTTTTGGGTTAGTGTGTGGATGGGGTTAATATGACAAGCACTCCTCATTCCTTTCTGAGGCAGGGAAAATTAACAACCTCTGAATATAGGCAGACAAGGTGCTTTGGGTAAGCGTGATATCTTTTATTAGACCAACTGAATAGTTGGAAAAATTGTTCTGTACAAGCTTTCAGGCACAAATGCCCTTCTTCAGGCATAGGGAGAGTCTGCTGGGGTTTGTGTCCTCTCTTGGGTGGAATAGGAACTTAAGACAGTATGCAAAATGTAGGTCTGTGAAAATGCAACCACTGAATAGCCTCTCCAGGCTTAAGCACAGGAGCAAGTCAAAGTTAATGTGGAGTGAGAGCTCTACAGCTGTGGTCTGCACTACTAATGTGTCCTTCTGCTTTCACAGTGCCTATATGCGCTGTATAGGACTCTGGCTGCAAAGTGAAAGCAGCTTTGTTTGCCAGTGTCATTTCCCCTATTTGAGTACTCAGCTTTGGTGTTCATTGGTCAGGGCCATCCTTGCTTGCTCACATCTGTTTTCCTACTCTGTGGGGATAACCGCTTTTCTGGCACAGGGTAGTACCCACAAAGGTAATGTATAGTTAACCTCCCACATGCTGCTCAAATAGGAAGATCTTGGCTTTATGCCCATTTTATGGAAATAGGAGCCTCCTCCCTAGCTTGCTCCTGCAGCCTTATGGCTGAGGGCAAGTGAAACTCGGGGGCATCTGAACCCGAAGCCTCAAGGCTTGGGCCTGCACACAGGATGCCTGCCAAATGTTTTGGAAACATCTGAAGCCCCAGGTGGGGATGGAGGATGTTTGCCTGTAGTAGGGTCATTTATGGTTCTTGACTGACTGACAGATTTGGAATCGATTTGGCTTAGAACACGGAAAATTTTCATTAAAAAAAAAAAATCTGGGCACATTGCAGGAGTCTGTAAGTAGGCAGTGACTGCTGAAAGGGGGAAGGCTTTGCCAGCTGGGATAGGCTGGCCTTCTATCAGTAGGTGTCAGCATCCAGGGCTGGGAGAGCTGGAGAAGGAGACGGATAGTGGCTGAGGCTAAGGTGTCCCAAGGAGCAGCAGTATCTGTGTCAAATGTGAGAATAGAGCTGGGATGGTGGGCATTCCTTTCAGCCTTCCAGACATCAAAACTCAATGGACCCAGGGAACTGCCAGCCCTCTTCTATTCTCCAACATGACAACCCCCCCCATATGCCTATCCTTCCTCCAGCAATGGGTTTCTTGCAGACGTGCTGCACAGAGCTTATCACCAGATCCAGGCCCTCTGCCTCCCTGGGACTTGCCAACTGTAGAGAGGAGGTAGAGGATGGGGGAACCCCATTCGACTGCAAGGAAATCCTTCCTGTAAAATGGGCACAAGGTGAAAGTCATGATCCATCTGAAGCCACGAAGCGATGCTGCAGCTGCTGGGACTGCTTGCTTGTATGTTTCCTGTGTAAATTTTTTTTCTTTCAAGTATTGCTTCTATTTTTATGATGGTGCCAGCTGTTCGCTGAATTAGCTCTGCCTGTTTAAACAGAGCAGCCCCTGGATCATTAAGCATGTGTTTGAAAGAGTCCAGTTTGGGACAGTTACAATTAGGGCAGCTTCATCATGTTACATAAGGATCTGTTGTACTTGCAATGGATTCAGCCTGAGGAAAGCTTTAGGGGGGTGGGGGAGGACTTGTTGTCATGTGGCATTGAGAAGCTGATAGCAGCTTGCAGCTCACTCCCAGAGACCCCAGAAGCATGTCCTGATGCTGCTGCTTGTGTTGGGTAATGCAGTCAATAGTAAGAGTGACTGCAAACAGGAAAGGAAGGTAGATCTTGGCCTGCATGGGGGTGTCCTTTCCTCTCTGGGTCAAAGCAAGCATCAAAGACCCCAGACAAGCCGCAGCCCTGACACTGGGGTTCCCTCATGGGTCAGGGACCTGCTGCTATTGCACTTGCTTGGAAGCAGGGCAGGATGTTCCCCTCTCCCACCCCAAATCTACCTCCTACCAAGGACAGACCACTGAGAATTTCGTTTTAATGGCTGACGAAGTTCTTTGGGTACATATGATCTCTTATATTAGACCAACTAAATAGTTGGAAAAAATTGTTCTTTAATAATTTAACAATTGTTTTTTAACTTTTTAAAATTGAACCTTGTCTGCCTATGTCCTTAGACCACCATGGCTACAACCAACAATTTTAAAGGCTGGTGTTCATTTTAGAGGCTGGCAATGGAAATAGGAGCTAGGCTGAGTCCAGCTGGCTAGCTAGACTAGTGTCTCTTTCAGACTTGGCCAAGTAGAGATATAAGAGTTCTCTGCGATTCGGAGGTCTCTCCCACATCCGCACTTCAATGCCCAGGGACAGGGGCTGTAAATATATCTAGCTACCACGGTCAGAACTGCCCTACACTTGCAGCCAGCCCAGGCATTTGGGCTCGTCACTAAACCGTGTCAGAGGGAACAGTCCTGAAATTGAGCTAGTGCGGAAGGAACGGCCTAGATGGCCTATAAGGGCCTGATCCTGCTCTCTGAAAAGTCAAGGGGAATTCCACAGGGCTGGGTGAGGACTTTCCAGCCTGCTCTGCTGTTAGCAAGAAGGCGCAGGAATTATTTCACCATCATCTGCTGGGAAAAGATTCATTTGTGCAGGACGGGGCAGAATGTGCTGAAAACCTCGCTGAGCTACAGTCTGCAGTAGTCACTAGGGAGGAGTCTTTGCAAAAAAACAACTTCCATCTCAAATGCCCTGGCTGCCCTCCTGGATACTCTGCCACGCTTTGGATTTGATGTCCCTCTATTCAGAATGAAGCAGCAAAGGAATTAAGGGGCCTGCCTGACTTTTTGCCTCCAGCCAAAGCAAATACATGAATAACAGTTTAGTGGAGGACAAGGGATGCCCTTTAGCCGGAGCAGAACAATAGGATGTCTGTGATCCAGGGTGCCTTTCTCTCTGGTGAGAGAAGCCAATCTCGTGCATGGTTCCAGCTTGTAAAGGGTTTGGGGATGCAGGAAGGTTGCAAAATAAGTGCTCTTTGAATCACGGTGGCATACTCTTCAGTGGAGAGTTTTCTCTCTCTATCCCAAAGGTTTCTTTCTGAACTGAAATTAAGGCATGCCTATGCCAGAGAGACTCAGCTCTGCATCTGACTCAGCGTGTGATTAGAAGTGAATCATATGTTTCCTTTGTGCTTCTCCCTCCGGATCCATCTGTAATACGGCAAGACGATACCAATGTCAGGCTGGCTCCGCATTTGCTCACTGTGAGCCTTAAGTGAGATGCCTGCATCAAAAGTGCTTTGGACTGACAATGTGTTAACAGTAAATTTCGGCCTCAGTGTACAAACCCTGTGGTGGCTGAAATGCATCTGCTAGGCAGTCACTGATGTTCCTGAATCCTCTTTCTAATAGCTCTGTAACCTGGAGGAGCAGGGTATTTCCTTGCCTCTCTTTTATTTACCCAATAGTGGAAATTATATTTGAAGAGACTTTTGGAGCCGAGTCAGGGACAGAGCAGTGTAAGCAGGTCCGTTAGTAATCGCCAAGGGGGAGGGCTGGAACGGACGTGTCAGGCATCACAAATGTTTGGGGGTGGATTTGGGAAGCCGAGATCCGGCACTACCTGCTCTGAGCACATTTCACAGTAACCCTTTGAGCTCAGCCCAAGAGCTTCAAAATTGGTGTGTTTTGGTTTCTGACACACTAGCCTCCTCCTGGAAGAAACAAGGAAGGAGAATTTTAAGCTAGTGCTAAAACAATGAGCAGAGGAGTTTCCTTGAATCCTGATTTTCATTTCAGCCCCTCAGTCTGTCTGATTTCATGCATGACTTAA